TTCTGAGACTCTACTGACATCTCCCTCAGTCTTCTTGTTTTTGCAATGATATTTTGCATTTTTTTTTATGGAAGATACTCTTGATATCTTTCCAAAGCTCATCTAGTCTTTGTTCATTAGTGTTCAAGCCTCAAACCTAAAATGCTTTTTTAATTGAAATATGATAGACTCAAGTTCAAATTTTGGTTCTTGTGGATTTGATTTCATTTTCTTTAGCTTCAGTTTGAACTTGCATATGAGTACTTGATGATTGTTCCACAGTCAGCACCTGGTCTAGTCTTTGCAGCTGATATTGAGTTTCTCCAGCAATTATTCCTACAGATGTATTCAACTGATTCCTGTGTGTACCATCCAGAGAAGTCCATGTGTAAACCATTTATGTTTCTTATAAAAGGTTTTTGCAATGAATAAATCATTGTACCAAACTCTATCATTCTATCTCCAGCCTCATTTCTGTCACCAAGCCCACACTTTCTGGCTACGAATTCTTCTTCCCTGTTCCCAACTTTTGCATTCCAGCCATCCTTTATTATTAATGCATCTTGGTTGCATGTTCAACTGATTTCTGACTGCAAAAGTTGTTGGAAGTCATCTATTTCCTCCTCTTTGGCCCTGGTTGTTAGTACATATTATTCAAAAGATAGTGATATTAACAGGTCTTCCTTGTATGTGTGTTGGATATTATCTTATGCTCACAACATTATATTTCAAAACGGATCTAGAAATAACCTTTTAAACTATGTATGTGACCCTATTTCTTCCAGCCTCCATTGTAGCACTGATTGCAGACTTGAGAGACCGGCTTACGTGATCAGGTGAGAACAGAGCACATGTCTCCTCCTATGCTGGAGGGTGTGTGTGCGTGTGTGTATGGTGGTGTTACAAGCAGGGGCAATTCTAATGCTGATGGCCGACAGCTCCCTCATGTGGCAGAAGCAGAAGGAATTGAGTTAGCAGTGATCAGCTTTGAAATCTCCCCAAGAACCTGTTCCTATCTGTCTTCATCAGTCTATAAACTTCCTAAACACCCTCTTAAAACCTGCTTGCTTTTTAACCCAGCTAGAGTAAATTCTGTAGACCTCTAGCAAATCTAAAGGAAAACATGTTGAAGTGAAAAAGATGAATATATGTTTTCAAAGGGCAGCTCAGGAGGACAAAGTAAAGTATTATAATGGAATGTGCAGAGAGCTAGAATTGGAGAATAAAAAAGGAAGAACTCACTCTGCATTTCTCAAGCTGAAAGAACTGAAAAAAAAAATTTAGACCCCATGTCACAATTTTGAAAGATGCTATAGGCAATGTATTGGATGACCCAGAAAGCATCAAAAGAAGATGGAGGGAATAATACACAGTCACAGAAAGAATTGGTTGACACTGACAAATTTCAGGAAGTATCATATGAACAGAAGCCAATGGTAATGAAAGAGGAAGTGGAAGCTGCCTTGAAAGTACTGCAAAAAATAAGGCCCCAGGAATTGATGGGATACCAATTGACTTGTTCAAGTTAACAGATGCAGCTTTGGATGTACTTATCAGTCTATGTCAGGAAATTTGGAGGATGGCTGTCTGGCCAACGGATTGGAAGAAGTCCATATTTGTTCCTATTCCCAAGAAGGGTGATCCAGCTGAATGTGGAAATTATCAAACAATATCATTGATATCACATGCTAGCAAAATACTGCTAACGATCATCCCAAAATGGCTGGGATAATACATAGGTAGGGAATTGCCAGAAGTTCAAGTGAGATTAGAAAAGGCCATGACACCATGGATATCATTGCTCATATCAGATGGATCCTGGCTGAAAGTAAGGAATACCAGAAGAATGTGCTTTATTGACTATGCCAAGTATTTGACGGTGTGGATCATGACAAGTTGTAGCTGACATTGAGAAGAATGGAAATCCCAAAGCACTTGATTGTGTTCATGAGCAACCCATACCCGGAGCAGGAGGTTATTGTATGAATGGAGCAGGGGAGCACTGCACGGTCTGGAATTTGGAAGGGAGTGCATCAGGGATGTATTCTATCTCCATACCTATTCAATCTATAAACTTAGAAAACTATCTGAGAAGCTGGACTCTTTGAAGAGGAATGTGGCATCATGATTAGAGGGAGATTCATCAATAACCTGCGTTGTGAAGATGACACAACCTAACTTTCTGAAAGTAAGGAAGATTAAGGAATGCAGCCTTCAGTGTGGATTGTGTCTCAGTATCAAGAAAATAAAGGTTCTTAAAGGTTCTTATTACAGGACCTATAGGCGGTGTCATGATGGATGGAGAGGAGATTGAAACTATCAACAGCTTCATCTTACTTGGATCCACAATTAACACCCTTGATAAGAGCAGTCAGGAAAGAAGGAGACACATTGCACTGGGAAAATCTGTAGTTAGGGACCTCTCCAAATTATTGAGGAGTAATGATGTCGGTTTGAGGACTAAAGGTGTATCTGATTCAGGTCATAGTCTTTCCTATTACTATGCATCTGAGACCTAGACAATGAATAAGGGTGACAGAAAAAGAATTGATGCCTTTGAGCTGTGATGATGTTGGAGAAGAGCACTGAACATCCTGTGGATGGCCAAGAAGACGAATAGACATGTCTTGGAGGGGATGCACACAGAGTGCTCTTTGGAGGCAAGAATGATAAGGCTTTGTCTCACATACTTTGGACATATTGCTAGGAGGGGCTATTCCTTGGAGAGGGACATGACATTTGGAAGGATAGAAGGTCAGCGAAGGAGAAGAAGACCCTCCACTAGGTGGATTGACAAGGTGACTGATGCAATGGGCTCTTGTGTGTCAGGAAGTGTGAGGATGATGCAGGACAGGACTAGGTTCAGATATTTTGTTCATAGGGTCACTATGAGTCATACTCAAGTCAATGGCACCTACCAACAACAACAGAGTAAATTCTATTATCTGCTATGAAGAATCCAAATGGGAATATCCTGGTACTGAAGATAAAAATTTGGAGCTCAGTAATTTCAGGAAACAGGTTCTTATTTTCTCATTTAAAAAATTGCAATTTTATTTATGTTTTATGTCCAGACTCCATGTCTTAGATTTGTTACATTCTGGAAAAATAGGGGGGTTTGCACTATGTAAAAGATTGTGGAGATTTGTTTTTGTCTGCAAATTGTGTTTTACTCATTTTAATCTCCAAAGTCTATATAAAACAAATGCATGCTCTAAGTTCCCAATCTTCAGACCTGTGGGAGTGATCATAACACTGTGAGGCTACCAGTTTGTAATACTACTTTTTCAACAGAATGCTATGATGGCTACAAATTCACTGACTAAGCTTGCATGTTACAACACAGAACATACATGCCTACAACATGCTATATTCACAAAATCATGGGCACTTTAAACACTAATAAGGATAAGATGAAACATGGTATAAATAATATTTAAAGAATTATTTACAAGGATGTGTACTGCAATCCCAGAGGTTCAAATCCACCAGATGCTCTGCTGGAGAAGGAGGAACAATCTCCTCCTGTACCACTCAGATCTGATTTGATGGTACACACACACACACACACAAG